TTTTCCCCTAAAGCATTTGTACAAATGTTACTTGCATGTGGCCCAATCTTCCAATTGGCACATGATTTATCTGGGAAGTCATAGAAGAGAGAGAACCTCCTGAGCTCAGGTTGGACATTGTAATGTGTTCTCAACATTTTGCCGTAATACAAGAATGGAAGGAGGGTATCCATTTAAAAAAAAAAGCAAAGCAGACCTCCTGCTTCCAATTTTTTATAATCCACATAGGGGGCAGAGGCTTACAATAGAGAAAGGGAATCTGGCAAAATTGCATTAGAATATGGCAGTAGCTAAATATTCCAAAAAAGAAAATTAAAAACATGCAAATCGAACCGGACGAAGTGTCCTGATCTGCCGTGATAGGTGGCCTTAATTTTTCATGCCTTTCGCTTGCTTAACTCCACCTGATCTCCAATTATCACTAATCTCATCATGGGCTCAGTTTTAGTTAGTCCAAGGTTAATGTACTTGTTCCAGTGAGGAGATTATTCTGGAGCCAGTGACTTCAGGCGAGTTCATTCCCTAGCCAGTGGTGAGAGCATTTCAGCGTATTCTGGTGATTCTAAACTCCTGATTCTGTTCCCTCTCAATTCTGGCTGTCTGTGTGCATTTTTTTCTGAGCTGGTTAGTCAACGCACAGGACTCTGAACCTGCCTTGGGCAGTGCTCCTTTCTGCATCTGTGCATGTCCGACTGGGCATGCTTCTGGACCCATCTGACTCTGAACCTTCATGCTCTGAGGATTCCTGGAAGCCTGAATCCCTCTGTTCCCATTTGGGTGGGACCTGAGACCTCTGAGTGGAGGTCTCCTGCATTCCTGAACTGTTCCTACCTGCTCTGTCTTCCCCTGACCTGGATTGGCTGTCTTCATGTTCTCCGGGGCCGCAGCATTGGGGACACTGGGTGTCTGCATCTTGTTGGCATTGTAACGGCTGATCATGCGAATTATTGAGAGGATGGACTGAACTGTTAAACCAGGTTAGTGACTCACTCTGATAATCATCTCCTGTCAGATGATCGTGGTCACTTACCTGTTTTTCTCTATACAGAGTCAGAGATGGGTTGCACCTGGCCTCTGCAGTCGCTGCAGTCACAGTTCCAGAGCACCCACTTCAGTTCTGTCTTTGTTTTAACAAACATTTTGAACTTTCCTACTGACTGTCTCACCTTGATTACTGAGTCTATCTGTCATCGTTTTATGACACAAAGGGGTCCACCCCTTTGGAATGGAAGTCGTTTGGCTTCTCTTGCCTGCAATGCCCCATACTCGGGTATAGGGCATTGCAGGCTAACAACAAACGTCTTCAAGGTTGGAAACAAGGTCCAGTAGATTGTTTGGTAAATACAGTGCTAGTTTGGAAGAAAACCTTCATGCCTCAGAAAGCTTGAGACCAGGGTGGCGGTTTAAAGGATGTTGAAATTAACTTAGTTTTACTTATCAGACTATGTATCAGTTTTCTTTCACTTCACAACTGAGTGTTACTTGGTGCTGTTTTCTTTTCTTTTGTTTTTTGTTTTTACATGAAATCTATACAAATTACTTTGAACCTTTTGGTAAGTAAGTAGCTTTTTGCAGAAAACTGCACAAAGACACAAGGTTCAGAAATGCATCCTGGGGGTTAAATTAGGAATGTATGCAAGCAAAAAAGAAAACTCTCCCTTAAAGCTACAGTGTGTGATTTTCAGCTACATCTAATAGTCTGACTGCAGCGAAATGAACTGCTCCCCCTCCAATACAGAGGCTGTCATGGTGGCTTTAGCAACGTCAACATCACCTGTCTTAAGATAGGATTAATCTAAAGATAGGTGAACAATCTCGTCAGGATGAAAAGATTTCTTTCCATTGATAATTTTATAAATGTTACTTTATCAGTCTGTTTAGGATATAGGTTTTATACAGTATTAGCCTAACTTGCTGTAGTAACATTTGAGCGTCATGGCCATCTAAGTCACTAGTTTGTCAGCTCTGTGCTGCTGTAGAGCAAAGATGTCTCCTCCATACATTTTGAAAACAGCTCCTATGTATTTAGAAATACCAATTTTTAACCCGACAAAAAGATAAAGATTGAGACTTTCAGATTGTAGATGATAATAAATAACAATTATGTGTCATATATTAAATTTCTGTCATTAAATCCATGTTTTTGTTAGACACTGTGGTTTTAATCCTTTAACTGATTGCTTTTCCCAAAAAACGGCATTTTAAAACTTATACAAATCCAGTACTCTTTCATGTTTCTGATTACACTGAAACAAGTTATTTGAACTTTAAGTAAGTTAGTCTGGCTTTGATGAGATGTCAAACATTGATTCCAAACTGTGAAGTGACTAAGTTCTGCTATGATATTAAGTTTTAAAGTATTTTATTACATTCAAGGTTGCAGCTCCCCCTCCTCTGACAATATGCAATTATAACGACTAAAAAACTGAACAAAGCGCCACACATAGACCAAGGTTATCATCAAAGAAGTATAATTAACATACCAAAATTGACATAAGATTGAATAAAAAATCCCCAGAGCAGCATCTGAAGCTTTGGTTATGAGATGAATGGGCCCCAATGCATGCAGTCTTATTGCAATTGAGAAATTACCAGAAAAGCAACCTTAAATAGATACAAAAGAATTCATCATTAAGAGAACTGCAGTCGGGTACCTGAATATATTTCCCTGCTCTTCAATTTCATCAGCAACCTCTTCATACCTGCAATGATGTGGAGAAGTGCATCATCATCACAAGTCACTGCAACTACTTCCAAATGTTGTTCTCCTTTTATCATTTAAATGTGCAAGTAAGCCAAAGTTTACAAAACTGGAGTTTTGTGGTGATTTTTTAGAGGTTATGTCTGCTGATACCCATTTATTCAGATTTCTCTAAAAGAACTACAGTTAAGATTTTTATTCTGACATTTATCCCCAACCACCTCTTAATAATATCTATTAGGAAGAGTCATGCTAACCAAACACGGGCTGTTAGAACAGATCTTATTATTGTTTTAAATTAAAGAAGTTTAGTATCTGATGAGTAATTAGTGTGGTCAACAGCGATCATTAACACACTGGTTTTTGTTCTGTTTTTCCTTTATTCAAAAAAAGTGTAAAATACAACTTTTATTCTGTGTTTTTCAAAAAATCTCCCATAATTTCTTAATGAAGCATATTGTGTAAAATACATTTTACTCAATATTTTGAATTAAGAAATGACTTTAAAGTGAAAAAATATAAAACAAAGAAACTAATGTAAAACCTTTAGAGTTCCTATTATCTGCAGATGTCTCTTCATATCCACTGACACCTCAGTAAGTGAAGAATTTAATCGCTGTCACTAAAAGCTCTGATTTATATAATGGCCCATTTAGATGCAATTATGGTAGATATGGTATAGAGGTAGGAGAGTCAAATCTGTGAATTTATTTAAAGCTTCACATTCAAAGTATTTATGTTTTTTATTATCTACTTTTATAATTTCGTGTAGTTTATAGGTTTTATGTAGTTTCAAATTTAGGACACATGAAAACTCTTTGTATACAATTTGCATAAAATAAAAAGTGATACCAGCACAAAAAAAATGATGTCAGGAATTAATGTGGAGTAGTAGTTTATTCAGGGAGAGACAGTCTTACATTTACATCCTGCTCTCACTGTAAGGGGATAAGCCAGTCACAGATTTTTCCATAAAGGATACATTATCAGTGTCGATAAAGAGTAAAGGGAGCAGCTCTGAGTGCAGCTGGAAAGAGCTTCAGATGAAGGAATTTGGCCCCTGCATGGGTTTTAACCCTTTATAGGGCACTCAAGACAATAGTGTTATTGGAATCCAGGACCTTATTACCTTTGTAACGTTATAAAAATATGGATATTTTGATGGCAAAAATGAATGTTAATGTATTAACAAGAAACGCCAACTTGCCCGAATATATTAAGAAAAATAACAAAAGTGTTTCTATAAGAAATTAATGAAAAACACTGGAAAAAACACTTTTTTTTGGGTACAATATAACCTTAGAGGCATTAATGCTGATACTGGCACTTACATTTCTTAGGTCATAAACCTAAATATAATTGTTAACTAGACTTATTAACTTTTGAACTTTACTTTTTAACTTTATAAATAGCTTTTTGACTTGTTAACTCTTTCTTTTAACTTAATTTACAGTAGGTAGTATATCATTCAAGGGCTCATCTAATTGGTCAAATGCCAAAATAAGATGTGCAGCCATGTAGCAGGATCTATGCTGCATGTCTGGGTATAGATCTTGTGCTTCTAGACCTCACTGAAGGACGGGGAGGAACTCTATTTGTAAGGGGTATGCAAGTGATTAAAACGCTAACTTGCCCTATAAAGGGGTAAGGACATAGGAGGAAAGCACCTTATGTTCTTAGGAAAAGTATAAACCATATGTGGTTTTTCTATTATATTGTCTAGGAAAGTGTCTATTTAAATGTTTCTTACACCCCAGTTTTAATAAGCCACTTTGGTCATTTTCAGCCTAGTAATAGTATCTGCACTGAAAAATGCTCCTGTCATCACATGCTTGTAGCTTTTAAGTAACATTCTTGCATTCAAAAAGCAAGGTCAGACCTTTTTTCTGCTACTAGCACAGGTAAAGTTGTCTTACTTCTGAAATCATTTGATTATGTTCCTTGGCTGAGATTTTGATGCATCTCTCAAAATGAGATTAGTTTTGGACATGTTTGAGGTTCAGTAATAAGGTTAAAGTCTGGTAGTAGTGGAAATGTAATGAAAATACTAAAGCAGGAATGACGATAATAACTGATATAGCTTTTGTCCAGACAAAGAGTAAAAACCGAAAGGATAAAGGTTATAAGCAATAAAGATCCATCGGGCTTGGGAGCATGCAACCCAGTTGAAAACAGTTAAATAAAATATGCAATCTCCCCACCTCCCTCACTTTCCCATCTCATTATCCAAACCTCAGCATCACTGTCTACTCATTAAAATCCTAAATGACTCTGCGTCGGTGTGTTTAGCTGTTCTTACCTATTTTCTTGTCCGGTAAGATACAGCAATGCCTCTGCAGTATGCCTGGCAACACCTTCCAGGAAACAGAATGGAAGGGAAGGGAGTGGGGGTACAGAAGGGGGTTGTAAAAGAAAGAAGAAGGGAAGATATTAATATCACAGAAGCTCAAAGCACATAAACAAGTTGGAGTTCTGAGACGCACTGATGCATGCTGAGATTTTCATTTACAGAGCAGAAACAGATCCCCATTTCTGACACCATTTGCATCAAAGCAGATGCCTCCACAGTTGTCTATGACTTTTCTCATGCACACTGATCAGAGCAGAGGGGCACAGAATGATAGCTGTGGCATGGATGTGTGCATGGAAGATGTATCCAGAAACTCTCAACTTAAGATTCAAATTCACATGCAGTCAGTGATGGGTAAAGTGGCATGTGAATACAAATAAATATCTAAAAATCCACTAAAACATTACCGTTACACAAAAAAAAGGCTAGTAAAGCAAACGTTTGTTTCTATTCATCAACACTTTTGTTATTGAAGAGAATATTAGCTCCAAATATAACAGGCATTTATTGCACTACTTACACGCCTGAGGTGGTCACATTGATCAATAATGCATGCTTACAGTATATCCCACAAGGCCTTCACTGAATTTTTTAACTGACCTGAAGTTAAATTTGAGCTGCAACAGTCATTTTCTCAACAAAAAAACACCACAAAAAAAATCAACCAGATGATTTACATATGAAACAGAATTTGCAGTTTAATTTATTTGCACAATTACACTCAACCTTCTAACCATTGGTTGATATTCAAAGGTGGGAACAAATGTAGACATGCAGGTGATTTTACAGCTCTTTGTCCTTGCAGGTGAGTGGCAGCTTCATCTCCGTCTCTAACCACTGTTTTGACTGATGGCTCTGCCACATTATGTCAAACTAATTTTACTTTCCTCAGGCATTGAATAGGAAACATCAGATAAGCATTCATTTTAATCAAAGAGAGAAGACATATGATGGTGCTTCTCCAAAAGAAAGATATTCAAAACAGAAATTAGCTCATATGAATAAATTTATCAACTCGTTCTTGGAGGTATTATAAAAAAAAAAACTTTAAAACATTATTTCTATTCAACTTTAATTCTAAAAAGTAATAAATAACATATTTTGGTGGAATTGTAGGAAATATGATAAACAGAATATATTATATGAAACTTTAGTGAGCTCCAAACAGAGGTGCCAAGTAACGAAGTACAAATACTTTGTTACTGTACTTAAGTACACTTTTTAGGTATCTATACTTTACTCCATTACTTTTTTTTCTTCCCACTTCTGACTTCTACTCATTACATTTTCACACAAGTATCTGTACTTTCTATTTCTTACATTTTTAAAACAAAGATCACTCGTTACTCTTGGCTTCGGTTTAATGTTTATAAATATTTATTTCAAGTCATGTGCACCCTCCAATGCAGATGATTGACGCCATCCACATCTAGTGAAAACTAGTGTAATTGGATGAGTCATATAACTCACTGGTTAGCTATTCATCAAATGTGTGCTGTCGGCACCAAAGGAAATCATCAGAAGCAAGCAGGTGTTCTTCAAACTGCAAACGTGAATTGTCTATGCCATGCAACAATTTTGGATTCAGAAAAAGATGTTGAAATTAGGGATGCACGATATTAGGATTTTGGCCGATATCCGATATGCCGATATTTTAAGACTCATGTAGTCGATAACCGATATCGATACTGATGTTAATGCTGGACAAAAATAAGCAGTCATTGAAAATAGCAGTTTTGTTATCCATTTCTGAGACTTTGAAAAATAATATACTCAAATATATTTTCATATGCGGATATCAAATTGATTTTTAAAAACGCGGTATCGATCTATTTTACTTTCCAAATCTCGTGAAATTTCATCGTTCTGTTACAAACTCTCGTGATATTTTTGCAAATTCTTGTGAGATTTTGTTAGTAAAATAGATCGATACCGCGTCAATATATCAACATATAAAAATATGGCAAAATTTCGTGAGTTTTCGGGGGATTTCGTAGCATAACGAAGACATATAGCAATATTTCATTAGTAAAAGAGATTGATATGGTGTTTTTAAATGGCAATATATCAGCATATGAAGATATTGTGATATTTTAATGTATCAATATTTTTTCTTTTAGAAATTTTAAAGTCTGTGAAAAAGAAGTTTTTGAGGAAGAAGAAGAAGTAGTATTTTTTTTTTTAGACTTTAGAAACTCAGAAGCTGATCAAATATCGGGTTAAATATCGGTGGGGTGGCCGATGTCCGATATTCAGTTTTAAGGCCGATATAGGCCGACACCGATAGGGGGCTGATTATATCGTGCATCCCTAGTTGAAATGTCTGAAAGGTCAGACACAGACGAGAGCGTATCTGGAGATGGAGACGGAGACCAACAAGACCTCCCTCATCCTTGGCCCTATCTCAAAGAATTTTTCAAAACAGTTGAAAAATTAAGCTTTCAATTCATATAGTGGCATCTGGCTGTTTTTTTTTAAAGGTTACTTTAGACTTATACTTTAAGTAGTTTTTGGAGCACATACGTTTTCACTTTTCCTTAAGTAAAGAGGTCAAATTGATGCTTCAACTTTTAGCAGAGTGTTTTTAAACTGCAGTATCTATGCTTCTACTTAAGTAACAAATGTGTGTACTTTTACACCACTGGTTGCAAAACAATATAAAATTATACATATATTCATTTTGATGGATTTTACAGTTTTTTGGCCAGTTATTTTCAAGATGAATAGTTTTTTATTCTCAAATTCAGATTATGTAAATATAAAAAAAACACACACACAAATAGGGGTGTGCAAAATAATCGTCATATCGATGCATCGCAATTCTAATTCTTGTGATCTACTGCATCGATTCTTGATGGCAAAAATCGATTCTTAATAAAAAAAAATTAACAAATAAAATACATTAATGGTTGGCGCACATCAGCCAAATCAAGTGGAATACAACTTCCAGTCCAGCAGATGTCGCTGCAAATGTGTTGACGCCCGCTGCTTTGTGTCACAAGCATGTCCGGCCGCGGGATACTGAGATGAGTCATTCGTGAACAAAACATGGAGGTGCCTGAGAAAATTCGCCCGGCTCCATATCATTTCAAGTCAGATGCTTGGATGCATTTTGGCTTTAAAAACAAAGAAGGTAAACACGAAATTGATATGACGCACATAATTTGCAAAAGGGGAAATGTTATACATTTGAATGTTTTCATTTCATTGGTTTAAAGGACCACTGAGGCCATTTAAATGGCACTGATTATCCTTATTTTGTTATTTTAAGTTTGATGAATCCTAAGATCTTTTTGTCAGTGTGTCCACGCCAGTAATCGTAATATTTCTGTCCAGTATTTGTTTTCATGGCAACACCTCCAAAAGTCGTTTCAATAAATACAGCTATGTATGAATTCAGTTGCTTTCAGTTCTGTATCAATTAAAGACACGATCCAGATCATACCCAGCCAGTCAGCCACTGGTAAGGGCTGGATCTTTTTCTTACAGTGTTCAGTGAAAATATCGCGATGCATCGCAATATTTCAAGTATCGTGATGCATTGTGATAGAATCGCATCGTGGCATGTGAATCATGATTCGAATCGAATCATGACTTCTTTGCCAATACCCACCCCTACACACAAACAGATCTGTCTTTCAGATGAGACCTAAACTGAACTGATAGATATCTACAATAATTAGAGGCAAGGCAATGCAAGGCAAATTTATTTGTATAGCACAATTCAGTACAAAGACAATGCAAAGTGCTTTACATGATTACAATATGGGAAAATAAAACAGAATCAAAGCAAGTAGGAAAAAAAATAAAATAAAAAAATACAGAAACAAAAAAGAACATTAAAAACAGTTGGACGAAAGAAAATAAAAAAGTTGAACTAATGATGTTTCAGTTTAACTGTTTAACTAGAACAGTCGAAGGCAATCCTAAACAAATGTGTTTTTAGTCTTGATTTAAAGGAACTCAGGCTTTCCGCACTTTTACAGTTTTCTGGAAGTTTGTTCCAGATAAGTGGAGCATTGGAACTAAATGCTGCTTCTCCATGTTTAGTTCTGGTTCTAGGTATGCAGAGCAGGCTGGAGCCAGAAAACCTGAGTGGTCTGGAGGGTTGATACACTGATAGCAAGTCTGTGATGTTTTTAGGTGCTAAGCCATTCAGGGATCTATAGACTAACAGAAGTATTTTAAAGTCTATTCCCTGAGATACAGGGACATTATATAGAGACATTTTTTATGGCTCTAGTCATGATTGTAGTTCTTTTAGGATAGAATAAAGAGTAGAAATACTTACAAATCAGACAGCATGTTGATTTACAGCTGTGTGAAAAGTATTATGGTGATTCAAAGGTGCAAACCACATCAACATCATTTAAGCAAAAGTACTAAATAAAAAGAAAAACAACAAAATTACTGAAATTACCACAAAAAATAACAAAAACACTTCAACATTTACCTTCCAGATAAGCCACGCATCAGTGGGGAAAATAAGACCTGACTGATTGAACGACAGCTTATGACCTTTGACCAGCATGTTATACTGATTGTGGCATGATTTTAAAAATATGGATTTTATCAGCGAACCCAACGCTTTTCAAAGGAAAAGTCCGGTCATATTCAGAAATCAAACTTCTGAAAGTACTTTAAATATAAAATTATTACAAACTGTTCAATAAATGATAAGTTTTTCAATTAAGAGTAATTTTCATTTAAATGTGCTTTACTTGAGACATCCATGTTTGTCAAAGAACACTACTGCCACCTACTGGTTTGTGACGTCACAGTGCGGTATCGGCTGTTGATCAAGTCCCAGTGCTGTATCTGGTGTTTGTCACAACGTGCTATTATCCAAGTCATTTAGAAAACATTCTTCTTCCAAATATTGGCTACATATGATGTGTTTTTTCTCTGACCAGAAGTTCGACGGCAAATCCTCCCTCTTCCAGTTGGCAATCCAACGACGAACCCGTCCGTGGAGGTTCATGAATCGCAACGGGGAAATAACTC